GCGAAGAAGAGAGAAATAAGAAAGAAGGAAGAGAGCAGAGGGTATGATAATACCTGGTATCTTCCCGTACTTCTGCAAATACGGAACTTTACATCGATACACGATGATACACCGTTACACACGACACACGTACATGCATATCATTATATACATATACATATATAAATAAATGAATGAAATATATATATATATATACATATATATATACATAAAACAGACACACGTTACAGACACGTACACGCTGAGGACTTTTTGTAATCAATAATAAAGGCGAAGCAATGTGCATTATGACTTTCAAATTTATTTTTTATCCGGTTACGATCGTTTTTTCATATTTTTTAATGAATTTTAGATGGCAATGTCTCTTATTTAAGCCTGCCGGATGTTACTTATATTTAAGAGTATATCGATAAGCATCTAATTTACAAACTGTAGGCTGTATTCTGATATGTAATAAAGTTGTCTAGAAAATAATCTTCTCGTTTTCTATTCTATTCTAGCAAAAAATCGCTTTTGCGTTTAAATACAAATGCGTTATCGTGAATAGAGGGGACAAGTAGTTGTTCATTGAAAATTATTAAATAAATAAAATAGAACGGAATAAAAAAAAATACTTGATAACCGAAGACGACAATTTTTTCAAACATTTCGATAACTAAACTTGAAATAAGGAAAATTAATTATTGGAAGATTGATCGATGAATACTCGAGATACCGAATTTCTTTGCCGACAGACCATCCGGATCGCAAGGACGTTACCTTGACTGGTTTCCATTCGATCCGGTTTTAATCATCCTTCGATGGAAACCGTAAGTGAATCGACAAGAAAGAAAGGATCGAATGGTCAGACATGATTGCACTCGGTATGCGTGACGCTGCGGTAAAATATCGAAAGATGAAAAATGTGCTGAAAAATAATGGAAAAATATATATCGTATCTTATCGTCGTATCGATCTATCGTACAGAAAAAAAAATAATAAATACCTATATCTCTGTTGAATCATAATTTAATAAAAATACAGTGCTCGATATACTCATGAAACTAAAAAAAAAAAAAAGAAAAAGAAAAAGCAGTCTCTTGAATCGAATTCCAGTACTATCATCAAGATTTTCTACGTAGATTGCATTGTTGTTCCAATTTATGCTTATCCGACAAATATCCAAAGTCTAACGAAATACGAATCATGTTTGAATAAGAATCGAATCGAGTCGAAAGAAAGAAATATAATTCTGCGCGGATATTTATTTCATCTGCCTCTATCCCTCTCGATGATTTTCGAAAAAAAAAAAAGAAGAAGAAGAAGAAGGAATAAAGATTAAAGGATTTTGCGATCCTTTTAAAAAATACCTTTAAAAAAATTGCGTGTAATCATACGTGTAATATTTGTTTTCTCGGATAAAGAAGCGGGAACTAATAGAAATAAAATAGCGGTTTCGTCGGGAAAATTGCACGGTGAGCCGCGCAAAGTTACGCTCGTCAAATTAACGAGTACATATTCGTGAAACACGCGAGGGGAGGTCTTTGCACTTAACACTGGTTCGCGTGCGGCTAACGTGTGCACGCAACGCGTGTTGCTCTCACACGTATTTACACACGAGGCAAGATGCACTCTCAGGTAATGGCATAGATGGCCTCGACCTTGGTGCATCGCTCGACTGCACCGTGTATCGTCCCACGCAGTGGCGTAACATCCAGGTGAGACTCGAATCTTTAGCCCGGCCATGCGTGCTTCTCACGAAGAAAACGTGCGTGCTTGCACATTGCAATCCTTTCGATCGCAATTACAACGAGAATTCACTTTGCAACATCTTCGAATATATTCATAGAAATTTGAAAATTTCCCCGTTCATTCGTTTTACGACGCGTTTCTATTTTTTTTTTTTTTTTTTAAGATAATTTAAAATAATAGGTTCAATTTGTTTGCAATGATTTGTAAAAATAATAATGGAAATTTGATTTGCTTTGAATCGGATTAATGTTATTTATTGGTTGAAATATTTACTCGTACATTTTTTTTTTTTCCTTTTTTTAATTCGCGATAAATTTAATTTCGAAAGATGTTGGCAAACCACTTAACGAAGAAATTCTGCGGGCTCATGATGCCTGTGTAAATCATACGTTGGCTGGTCTTCGAGTACAGTCGATTGAGTCATCGATACGTGACACGTATACGAAAATACGTAAGCAGAAAATTTAGTGTACGTTAAGATCGGAGAAGGTCGAGCGTAACTGTTCCCTATTATGGCACGTTTTCATTGCATACCGATTATCGAATGAAACGCATTACGTTTAATCTTGTACAAAATCAATTTTCGCGTTTTCGTAATCATATCTATTGTAAAAAAAAAAAAAAAAAAAAAAAAAATAAGAACAAATTTCCTCGTCTTGAAAATAGTATAATGATTCAGATATATCATTAACGATTTAACGATTCAAATTATTTATATTTTTATACGTAAAGAAAGGATAAAATTTAGCTACGTAGCAATGATTTATATAGATTCGTGTAAAATTTCATGGAGGAGAATTCGTTGTTAAGTAAATTCCATGCATTCCTTCTGTTACAGCAATGCTTTTCTCACGGGCCACTGAATGTCCTTAGAATACAGTGGAGATGCACGATGTACGATGTACGATGTATAATTTATAGAAGAAATATATAGGACAGACGGTTTATAACAATATCTTAACAAATATATTCAAAGATCAATTTCTTGGATACTAAGAAAAACTTAGAAATTATGTAAATATTTCGAATGACAAAAGAATTTAAAATAGACAGTCTAATCATTGCTTGATATTGTTTGCATAGATACAGTAATTGCGCGCAATAATTTTGCAATAATAATCATAGAACGAAATTTATATATAACGTTCGATTTGTTGCGTAAAGGTATTTATATCTTTTGATGTATTTTTTTTTATAACATTTCTTTCGAAAGGAATTTGTGTTAAAAATGCATGGGACAAAAATGAATTCAATTATGATTTATTGAAAAATAGAAATAGAATACACGCATAAAAATTTCTTTGTTGTTCTATTGCTAGTTCCGTTTCCAGAACGAGTTCTCAACGTCTTTCTCAAAGCAACAGAGGGGTTTGAGAAAGTGGTCAGGATGAAGGTAGCACGAAGGATTCTATACAATCTATATTCATCGTAGGCTCTACGACTGAGCTGGCATTCTTTCGCTTTATAAAAATTCGTGTATCCTGATTTATAAAGTTACGATATTTTATTTTTCAATATAATGGGGAAAGGATCGTAAAATTCAAACGAATGATTTTAATAATAAATAAATAATGGTTATAAGTCTTTGAAAACGAAGATCTGAAACGCTATCAAAGAGAAAATAAATTTTTCTTCAATGATTATGGCGTTATGATAAGATTTTCTGATACTTTCGAGTTATAAGAAATGCCATTCAAAGAATTCGTCAGTCTATATTCGAAGTTAACGTCACTGTTGCACATAAATCAACCAAACGCTAATCATGCAAAAAAAAATTAAGAAAGAAATGTTTGTAAAAAAACGATCTTTAAAAACTTATTTATTTATACATAATTTTTACAAAAACTAATATCGATCGTTTCGATTTTATTAATTTTTTATTAATTTTTTTCAACATCCAACGCTATTCGTGTTTAAATTTCGTTTTTTATTATTTTAAATTTCTTGCTACATTAAAATCTTATAAGAAAAAGTTATTAATTCGATTAAATATCGTTTTTACTCCAAAGTATAAATATTGTTACTTTTACGGAGTCCCATTCGTCCCATAATTTTATCTCTTTAGATTATTAAAAAATATCAGTGCCAATATTCAAGTTAAAACATGATCGATATTATTTTTTTTTATAACCATAACTACATCTTCTAGATTCGCTGATACAGAAATTTTTCGATACGAAAACGGCTCCAGGAATTCGTCAGAGACGACGTCTGACGTCATCCTCGTGCCAGACTGGAGAACGGAGGTCACGTGTCGCGACGTCAAACGAAAACTCAATACTCGGCCAGTGCCGGTCCGGCCAATAAGCGTCGAAAGAACTCTCGCCGATCGACATACGATCCTAAGGCGCGTCAGTCGAGCCGCAACCGTTGAACGGTGAACATCGTGGCACGGTCGATAACGATTCCGATTGTTTGTGAGTTTGCTTTTTAGTGAACGGATCAAAGGTGAACGAAATGGCCAACAACAGGGCGACTAAATCTGGATTTGCGGCGGAAGCACAAAGAAGGTAAAAAAAAAAGAAAAAAAAATCCTTTTTTTTTTAATACGTATATACACGTATGTTTTGTTCGATGATACATGACCTACTGCGAGACCATCCCTCATGGAATTCGGCCTAGTAAGGGTGGTTGCGCACGCGTATTACGAAGTTCATTGCACCTATGCTCTCAAAGATAAATGAATTATTTGTTCTGATAAAATATAGTGGAAGTTTGATGATATTGATTGCCGAGATTTAACTTAAATTCCCTGTTTCAGGTTTATTTTTATTCGATCTGTAGGAATTTTAGACTTGAGGTATCGTTTCTGTTGAATTTGTTTTCTTTTCTTTTTTTTTTTACGATATAGTAGATATTTTTATTATTAAAACTAGAAAGACGACGACAAATTTATTAAACTTTTTATTATTCGATCGAAAATTAAATCGAAATAATATTTAATCAAGTCTGATTGCCTGTTGCTTACTCAAAAGATTAAGGAAGGAATTTAGAATCGGTAAATATTTTGACTCTTTGGAGGTTGAGGATCGCTGGAATAATTCACAGGTTTAACTTAGATTGTATGTATCTATGTACGTGACAGTCATTCGTATCTGCAGATTACAAAGCTCATGTCACAGATATTTCATGACACTTATTGGAGAGCAATCCCGTGAAATTTAGTTAGAAATGCAGAGCGTGAAAGAATAGCTGTTCACAGGTAAATTTTGACGTGATTTTAACATTTCGAAATTCTTGATTTTGAATAATTAAATTATTCTCTAATGTTTATCTTTTTGAGAATTTCTCCATTTAGAATTTTATATGAAAATTTTGTCTCTACAACACTTGAAAATAAAATGATATACTCTTTTTTTATTAATCGAATTCCATTCCGATAAGTAAAAATCACAAAAACCACAAAATTTCAACTTCAATATAATAGGATCATCTCTATAATTGTAAATCTTCATTCCTTAATCTAATCATGAATCTTTACGTTCTATCTACCAAATGATTAATCCATCCATGTACTATCCATTTACTATCCATTTACTAATCTTTCCCTTGCTCCAATATCAAATTTTTAAACGTAAATAAAATGCAAAATTACTACGATCTTCTTTAAATCATATTCGATCCAATCATATTTCGTTATCATCAAAAATTTTTTATCAATTTTCATGAAAATATCAAAACAAATCTCCCGATTTCTCGCTTCGTTCTTATCTTGAAATTTGTCTTTCAAACAATACAGATTAAATAAGATTGAGAAAATTCTTCTCGAATGTTTTCGATCGTGCAAAGTTTAAAATCGAGTCATGATTTGATCAAAATGCAAAAAGAAAAAAAAAAAGAAGAAAAAAAGAAAAAAAAGAGGAAAAAAGATTGGTAAACGGCAATTTCATCCTGAACGGAAATGACAAATCGTAGACACGTAAAGGTGGCGAGGAAGGAATTTGCAAGAAGATTATCGCGATTTCGATACGGTCGAAGATTGTTTCCTTTCGTCACACCTGAGCATACGCCGCGTTTTCATCGAATTCGCCTCGGAGGGAACCGTGCTCGAAGCAACAGCTGCCGACCGATCCCTTCCTCCGAGAATTAAAACGAGACCCAGTTGCCAAAGAAGGGAGCGTCCCTCGACGAAACTCACCGGCCATGGTACACTTATCCTTTCGCCACGAATCACCTTTAACCATCCTAATATCTCTAGGTTACCACATGATACACGTCGAAGAATCACTAGTCTATTCTTGGATCCATTTGTACGTTGTACTCTTTCATAACATCGAACAGTAGTATGACACGTAGTTTACGCGAGTTCATTCACGATGTTTGGGTTAAATTAGTTTTACTATAAATATTTGGATGATACAGTAAGGAAAGTAATTTTTGAAATATATATATATATATATATATTTTTTTTTTTAGCGTTCATCGTATTAGAAGGATATTTTATAAAAATTGCAATAAAATGCATTTTAAAGTTATTTGGAAAAGCATAAAAGCATTGTGTCATCATAAAAATAATATTCGTTTATCCTCAAGACATATTAAATAAGTGAAATTGTATCATCGTTAAGTGAAAAACACTTTACTTAAATAATGGAAAGAAAAGAGGCAATCTCAATTTTCCTAATTAGTAATTGATAAAAAACTGGAACAGAACCGTGTCATTCTCGAGTGTGGTATTCATACGACGGAAAATAACTCGATACTCGAAAAGAAAAAAAGAAAAGGAAACGGTACGCTCATCTTCTATATCAAACAAGCGAGGAAGGGAAAAAATGGAGCGAAATACAAAGGGTTTGTTGTACATTGATTTCGAACTTGTTTCTTTTTTTTTTTTTTTTTCTTGAAACAATTAGCAAGCAACTAATCTGAAGGACGCTCATTATGGCAAAGAAACGTATACTCAATACGAAGATATCCTTATCGCTATTGGAATGCAATGGTTGGTTCACTATTTTTTTTTTTCTTTTTTTATTGATTCAATGACGTTTATCCAACGAACTGAAAAAGAAATCGAGATTCGTCATGTTCTAATAACGAAAAAGATCTTTGAGAGGTAATTTTTTTCAATTTTTACGATTAACAAGATATGTTATCAGCCTGTAATTGTGCTACATTTCACATGATTTATTCTAAATTTGTGACTAAAATTAATCATTGCTAGAAATTGGCTCGCAATATTAATTGCGGAGTGACGAGAGTTCAACGATAGTATTATTATCGGTATTATTTTATATTCATTCCACAAACGTTTTATGATTATTAGGTCAATCATTTCTTATTGTTACAAGTGTGAAATAGCAAAAATTGCAGAGAGTAATTATTATTCGAACCTCTGATAAGCTTGTTTAGTTATTATTACTCAATCATATGTTATTCATCGATAGAATTGTTATTCATATTCTAATACGAAACATTGCATATACACATAATAATTAAATATCCATTTTTATAAATTACATACCACTATTTTGGAGAATTCCAAAAAACATAATTTTCCATTCTTGATAAAACACTTTCATTTTTCATTTTTAATTTGCAGAAGTCACGCAATTACTTTTAATTCTAATCAGTTAAAAACACGGCACACCCTTGTGGCAGGATATTTTCCAGACGAATTCTTATTTCAATCCCCTTATGGTGTATCACGATACACCATAAGGGAACCATGTTTCGTTACAAAATAGACATAACAATTATAGCCACGTGTTTCCGTGAACCAAGTGCGATGAATGTGCGGCATTATACTCGAGGCCTAAAAATAGGCGTGCTTCATCCCCGCGCGGAGGATATCTGCATTAGCCACCGGAAACACTATAAAGTGGTTTCCGTTTTAGGAACGAAGGAACGATCTCGAGGAACACTCGCTCCTTACCGCTATATATTTTCTTCCCCGTTGCTTTTACAATCAATGTTGAGGTGAATTAACGATCGTACAGATTCTTCCAGCCTCCTTCCAAGAATTCTCACGTCCGCTAACCTTTCCTCTTCCGTCGTTCGAATCTCCGCGCGTGGATCTTCGTTTCGTGACTGACGAGATGCGAGTGGATCGACGAACGAAAAAATCCTTCGAGTTTTACAAAGTATATATATATATATATATATATTTTTTAACACAAATAAATATAAGTCGAATGGGACAGATATGGAATAAGGAAGATTAGAAAAAAAAGTTGATGATGACGTAGAGATTAGAGATCTGTCAAATAAATCCGAGGTGACTTTTTAAATATTGGAAAAAGATCAAAAGATAGAGAGAGTAAGAATTTTCAAGAGACGATTGTCGTAGAATTTAATTTTTCTTTCGTATAATTTTCCCAAAGTGTTCCTTTTTTCCACTCTGGAAATTGCGATTTAAAATCGCGAAATACGAAGAACACGTTAGCGTAACGTAAATTTGTGCACAAATCATTAGTTGACACGTGAGGCCGAGCATGGTAATAGAGGCGAAGGACACCGTGCAGTGCAATACAAATTCTGCTCGAGCACGACTCGTGATACTGGGTTCGTTGGAATATCCTGCATCTGAATTCTGATCCTCGTTCCTTCTCATCGGGAAATATATTCACAGACTATCTCGGCCTAGCACTGATTCATCATCTGATTCACCTTGAGAGAAGTTGGACGAAGAAATCTTGATAGAATGTAATAGACTGAAAGCCCGTTAGTTTGATGTGCCATCGACCGAATCGATCATCTATACGTGACCAATCATAAACTAAGCGAAACTAAGAAGAAGATTACGAACGACCTTTGGAATTTTTTAATTGCAATAATTTATAAATATTATATACTCAATATATATTAATGTATATAATTACAATTAACACAATTTTTTAGGAAGAAATTCACTAAAATTTAACGCGGAATGCATAAAGTTTCCCCAATACTTGATGATATATACTTTCGTGATATAATTATTGTTTAAATAAAGCGTTTGGAGTGTTTAAAACTTGATCGTCGTCTGATAGTAAATCGAGGTAAACTGGTATTTAAAAGGAATTACCTCGAGATCCCATAATCGTGAAGTCTGTAATTGTTGGGAGTAGTAAGTGTGGTGATAAAGTTTAAGTGCATGGGTTCCATGAAACTTTCTCCTGCCCGTGACTCACTCGAGACGTTGCACAGTTCCTTCCTTGTGTCATATCTTGGCCAGTTATCAACTTAAGCCAACGTTAATTATCGACCATGATGATTTATTACTTAATCGAACACACCGAGACGTGTTACGAAATCGTTTCCGATCGAACGATATGGAAATGGAAGTTTTACTTTTCGCGCGAGGCGAATTCAATAGAGAATTGGTTCAGCTTGAGATTTTTATCGCCGCTCGTTTCCGCATCTGACTCTTCTCTCTTTTTTAGATTTTTGCACGCGAAGAGATAATTATTCGAGCAAGGTTGCTGGTGGATTAATTAACGCATATTCCATATGCCCGCGAAAAATGACCGGGTTACAAAAGAGACCTTAAGGACCCACGTTCTTCCCCTCGTGGCCTTGCGCTCTTTCAAATTAAAACAATCTCCAATTCCCACGAGCGGTAGAGGGAATTTCACGGTCGAGAAACAACCGTGAACTTCGCTTCGGATGCGATCAATTTCCATCCATGGGACGAAATCTTGTTCGCTCATTACACGGAAGTCGCATTAATATTAATGAATCTGTTTTTGCTCTCGATATCTCATCGAGATGAATTTATGAAAGATAAAAAAAAAACGACGTACGTAAAAAGTAAAAAAAAATGGAAGATCACAAACATGTTGGTCCGATGAGGAACAATACTCTTGTTTGTCGAAGTGGCCCATATAGGTTATCGCGATGCTTCCAAATGACAACGTGAGTCATCCAAATTTTTCACCCAATGCAAGCCGAGTTTTCATAAATTTATTAAATTTAATTGGATTCTTAGCTGTGAAAAAATCGTATAAAAGTTTCTTTCTTTTTTTTTTTTTTCTTCCGTAATAATTTTAATTCGTTTAATCAAAAAATTGTGCAGATTGAAATTTTGGGATCGGTAATAAAAAAGCAAAAGCGAATTAACTCGAAGGACTCGTCGGGAGACATTATTCGACATTGAAATGACGAATAAAGTGGCGAAATGGATTAAACCAATATCCCGTAACGATTGTATAATACGTGTGTGTGACGTATTCACGTAAATGGGCGTAAATCAACTTACAAAATTCCACATGCGGGCAACACGATAAGTATTGACGGTATCTGTACCTGTTCGGGCTTCATCTCGTTTAGAGATCCTTATATGGCCGGCAACCTTCGAACAGGCTCACAGCTTTGAAAATGCACAATTATTTATCTCTGTTGTGGAATCGTGTTGTGGAATTACGCAATCATGACCACTCTTGAAGTGGGTCAACGATTTTTCTGAATATAAAATGCGATTTTTTCTTTAATTTTTTTTTTTTTATATTTATCTTGTCAATAAAATTAGATGTTTCTAATTTCTAAGAGAGCCTTTCTTTCGAAATTCTACGACGGAGATGAATCGAACACGATAATCGTAAATTGTAATGTTTCAGGAATGTTTAGATTTTTATACGATAAAAATTGTTAGATTGAATAAAAAAGAAATATGTCGAAGAAAATTGCAATTGAAAGGAAAAATTGAAGAAAATTTGATTGTGGATTAATAAATGATTGGAAAATGGATCGTATATTTTAAATAAATCTATCTGATAAATTATCGTTTAAAGAGAATCATTATATAGAATCGAGAAGGAAAAAATCTTTTATCAGAGATTTTGATATCAATATGGAAAACAAGAGACAATGTTTAAATGCAGTTCTCCTTGTGCTCGCGATCAAGGTGATCATATACGATTATTTCGTTTCTTTTTCTTTTTTTTTTTTTCGATTCGTGATAAAATATCTTTCTATGTTTTTACATATTTCGATTATCATATATAACTTTATTGAATTAAATAATAAATTGAAAAGACACAATTCGATGTGTAATTGATCTGTAATTATTACACAGTGATTTGAAACTTCCAACAGGTGCAAAATTTAAACAGTTTCAAGCTTTGATATCAGCTCGATATCAATTTGATATTTATTCTCAATACATGATTGATAGTTTTCTAAAAAATTGTATAGATTCAAATCTTTCTTATCGTTCAATCGATATGTAAACTTGAAAACTTATCGTTGTACCGATAAATATCATCGATATTTATTCATAGCGATTGCTCAATCATCTTATTACTGACAAGAATTATTATTAATAAAAAAATAATTCGTTTCAATCTAATAAAAATTGGCTGCTTCTTCAATAATAGGAAACTCTTATTAAATAAATTGAATGCAAATTGTATGACATTATCTGTCTATATAAAATATAATCTATGCAAAATATCATTATTAAAATTTTGATACGTTGATTATAAAAAATTGAAAAGAGAATTTCGAATTAATTATCTCGATTTATCTCGTCGATCAAATGAAAAGATATCGTGTTACTTCTTCAATCAAATGAAGAAGTATCGTTACTTCTCCAATCGTAAGTTGGTTAACAACGTTAATTCTACGGCCAATAAATTAATCTAAGTGTACTCTGTGTAACAAGGAAAACGATTTTGCTGGCGGCAGCATCTTGGAGAAGAGCAATTCCTTCAATTTGCCCACTGGTTCATTGATAGCCAAGCCTTTGACCCATTTTTCATGACCGTGAACGTGAGCTAGAGAGCCATTAAAAGCGTCATTGTCACAACTACTAGAAAGACACGAGACGATCCTTTAATTGCAAACACTTGCCCTGCTAACTGACGTACTTGTGCTTGGAACAGTCTAAGATACAAGTAAGTACTTTTTTTTTTTTTTTTGTCAAAACATATAGCTGCAATTCTTTTTCGAACAATGATAAAAAGTAACACTAAAGTTAATAAAGCTGATCATTTAAAGTCGGTCGATAAATTAATAATGTTATTATTATTAGATTGAATACAATATGTATCATTTTTTAAATTTCAATTTCAAGTTTCATTCATAAAAATAATTTTTAGATATTTTAATTATTTTGATCGATAAATAGAGACGAAATAAAAGCGTCATTTCAAAGTTCCCGAGATATCTAATCGAGCAAAGATCAATGATCAAATAAAATTATTCAAATCCTATCGATTATCATATCATTGATAACATATTTCTACATTTTTTTCATCGAAATTATATTTATTAAATCTACTATCAAAATCTACTATAAAATTCTTCGAATAAAAAAAAATGGCGTCTGAATTTAAGGAACGAGTGTACTTTTCTGAAGTGATACACATCAGAAAGAGAAGAAAAATGATACCTGCGAGGATTCAGCTGCGACCCCGCATAATTTTGAATAGAATAGATTCCACACCACACCCTTCAAACTTTAGAAACTTGTTTGAGAAGATCTTGGCTTCAAGATCTTGTGTGGTATGCAATTGGACAAACGTGACTTTCTTGAGATTTAATGCGACGAAAGTATTATCGTGTCATTATCATATTCGGTTTACTTTTTTTTTTTTTTTTTTTTTTTTTTACAAAATTAAAAAATTCTTCGTTACAATGTAAAATCGGGAATAATTAGGAATTAAGTTTTATCAAAATTTAACATTCTATTCTCTTCATATTTCTGATAAATGTAATATCTATAAACGAAAGATATGACGATAATACATAGAAATATAACTGGACAGAGAAAATCGCAAAGCGACTAATGACGTGTACTCATGCAAATGGGCTCGCGGAATTATTAAGCTTAGAAGACTCGTCGATGTTATGATCCCGTATTAAGTAATCCGAAAAGCGCTTTTATAAACGTAATAATCATATTGCTCGATACCGTTTCTGCCTCGTTCTATTCGGCCTTAAGTACTATCATTGAACGCATTTCTCGCCTGTTATTTTTTTTTTTTTTTTTCACGTTAATGAAATTATCATGCGCTTACTTAATACCTAAATATAGAATTCGCATCGTGCTCTACATCGTGGGTTTATATCACGAGATATAAGGGAGGAGATAGCGAAGTCCGTTGCTTCCGAATGTTATCATTGGATAGGACAAAAACTGTAGAGAAAAAAAACACTTGCGACGACAATAATTTACCTGTTATCATTTTTTAAACGTTTTCTTTTATACGTTCACAAATTTTAATGAAAAAATTTTTATTATTTTTTTCTTTTCTTTTTTTTTTTTCCTTTTTTTTGAAATGAAAAATATCCTCAGAGGAACACAGAAATGTGATATTTATATAACGCGTAATCTTTTGATACGATTAATCTTTATTTGCCTTATTATTATTAAATATTAAAAATATCTAAAATATCGAACGATTGTGGTAGAGAATTTTTTTTTTTCTTTTTTATGATAACAATGTTGTTTGAAAACATTGTTAAGAAAACGAAAAACCAAGTCTTAGAACATGATTGATGATAGCAAACTAATGGTGTTTTTATATTGAAACAAGATAGGTTTAAATGGAAAAAAGTTTGCTTGTACACAAAAATAATCGTTTCCTTTGTCTTCTAGATAATCCGTAATAACAAAATGAAAGACAATGAGATACGTTCGAGGAAGAAGAATTTATTTCCAGTTTAACGATATAACTTGAATACTTCTAATTTAACGATCGTCATTATTCATATTAATGATATATTGTAATTACTTATGCATATTTTTATTTCGCGAAGGAGGTGTCAACATCAACAGATTGAATGACGGTTTGGTGAAAGTGAATACTTTCAGCATGATATTTTTTCATAACAAAATTGCCCATTGTTTGTATAAATATATACGTATATTTCCTGATTATAAAAAAAACTCGTCATTTTTGTAATTTAGAAATAATACTTTTGACCCCTGTATAACGTCATAGATTATTCGATAAAATTTTCTGTATACATAGCATATAAATTCAATTTAATATATTCTAAAATATATATATATATAAAAGAAAAAGAAAAATACCTGAGAAAATCGCATCTGCGACTTTGCAAGACTACCAGAACCATATATATATATATATATACCTCTAGTATATTATTCTAATTGTATCGATCAAGAGACTGGTGAATTTTACGAGGCACGTGAAATATATCACGATCAAGACACCGTATAACGGCTAACGGAATATGCATACTGCATCGGGATGAATACGACGGTCCATGCTTACGAACCTCTCCTTTTTAGGTAACCTTTACGTGAATAACTGTGCGCCCATTACGCGTTCTCCACGGGCTTTAAGATACACGGAGTTCGTCGAGTTGTTGGCGTTCACAATCGATTTCTTTTATAAGATCGTGAACTTGGGAACGAGTTTCGTACTTAAAAATACAAAAGAATTCCTGAACTTTATTTTCAAGTTAGAGAAAAAAATTTTTTCTTCTTGGCTCGAATTAAATTTCTTCTCGATTTATAAATGATCTTTTCTCGTAAATAGATAAGTATCTCGTGATGTGTATTCTTCGAAAGAAATAAAAGAAATAAAATATACTTTTGAGAAGTTTATTGCCAATAGAAGAATAAATTGAGATACGTTTTTTAACAATCTTTTTGAGCAATACAAAAAATTTCTTCGAAACTGCTTGGAGAAAATTTGCGAGGTAGTATCACGAAGAAACAACGAATGAAGTGTTTAAACAAGTTGGGTCAGTGACTCCGACCACGCTTGTGTCGCAGACCCTACAGGATGTGTTACTTGGATCACTGGCACATCGCATAATTAATAGCAGGCAGTCGGTAATGGCTCGTGCCCCTTACTTGAAAGATCGACGAGAATCTCGTGAAATCTTTGTCGTCATAAAATATGAATTAAAATAACTAATTTTTTTTGTAATCTAAAGTACAATAATATATTAACAAAAAAATTATTTTTTTTTCTATCTTAATTTTATTTTATAATATAATAATTCATTACAATAGGATCTTATTTATCTGATTCATTTTAAGAAACAAACAATTCCTATAATTAAAATTCATTTAATAAGAGTTCAGATAAGTATTCAGATAATTTTAGATCTAATAAATGGAATTCAAATGGATAAATAGAATTTTACTGCCTTTTTATTATGCAAAGAAAAGTTGATGATCTTTACTGATGATCATAAATGCATTTCTGTTACAGATTAACAGTAAATACAGCGAGGAATTGGCACAAGAATGTTTGGAATGGATCAAAACGATCACCGGTGAGAATATAAACACTAACGGAGACATGGACAATTTCTATGAAACTTTGAAAGACGGAGTCCTTCTTTGCAAGTAGTTACACTTTGCTAAACAATGTCAACAATTAATTTTCTTTCAATTTGTTGAGATGATAATTAATCATTATCTTTTTTTTCAGATTGGTGAATGATATTAAAGAAGGATCCGTGAAGAAAGTTAACAAGACCAGTTTGGCATTCAAATGTATGGAGAACATCAATGCATTCCTCGAGGCCGCGAGAACATTAGGTGTCCCAGCTCAAGAGACCTTCCAAACTGTTGATCTTTGGGAAAGACAAAATCTCAATTCAGTCGTAATTTGTTTGCAATCTCTCGGTAGAAAGGTGCATATATATATATATGATATTTTTTCTCTTTCAAAAACTTCAGTTTATTATAATTAAAACCATTCAAAACTTCTCTTTTACATAAATTCCTTTGAAATTTCAAGGTTTTATCTATATTGATATTATTTAAATTAGAAGTAAAATTAGTGTGCAATGATTGAAATATGAAAAAATATTTTTATATAAAAAAGTTCTTTATTAGTCTTAATTTGTCATTTATAAATAATTATAATTTTCATTTGTAGGCGGGTAATTATGGCAAACCAAGCATCGGACCAAAAGAAGCGGACAAAAATATACGTAATTTTACTGAAGAACAATTAAGGGCTGGACAGGGTGTAATTAGTTTACAATATGGCAGTAATAAAGGTGCTAATCAGAGTGGTATTAATTTCGGGAACACTAGACATATGTAAATCTATTCGTCTAAATATCCATTCACAAAAATTCCAGTTTCATTCTTGTCTCTAATTTTATCTTTACGATATACTAGACTTACGGAAAAAATTTTGTTGTACAACAATGTTTGTTATCGTGGTCCAAGTTAATTCTAAATGGTGCACAAAACTCATTTTTGCGCATAGATGATTTTCTATGTATTTAAACAAAAAGATAGAAATGAAAAAGAAAGATGTACAACATAAAAATTTTTATACTCCTTTTTTAAAGAAATGAGCAATCTCAAAATTAACACGTATAAAGTTATGTCTATTCTAAATATTCGATATGTATACTTTAAAATATAATATATATATATTGTTAATGTATGACAAAGATTCTTTAACAAGAAAACAATTTACTTGCAAATATAAACAAAAAAAATATGTTGTACTACTAAACATAATTGGATAATATGACTATATATTTGTTAAATATTACAGATAAATTATGAAACAGAGCTGTGGCTTTGTCACTGTTATTATAAAACTTTACGAGTTACAGTGTAACCAAATTATACTTTTAAAAGATTCGTGTTGCGCGTAAGACGATAACTATTATAGTTATTGTATGATGATAAATGATATATTATTACATTAAGTATTTTGTACAAATATTTTTTGATGATTATAAAAATAATTTTTCATAATGTAATGATAATATGAGTTAATAAATGATTTAAAAAGACATAAATAAATGATCTTTTCTCTTATTAATTTTTATTTTATTTACTTTTATTCTTAAACAAATCAATATTTTATTCTTAAACAACATATATTATGTAACGAACAAATAATTCTTTCATCTCATGAAAGGATAATAATCAAGACCAGAATTATATTTGAATTTAGTCTGATAACGCTTGTGTTTCTTAGCTTGTTCCAAAAGTTTCTGAACACTAGGTCTAAAATAAATAAAAATATATATTAGAAATGAGAACTTATTATAAATATAACTATTAAAGTTAAAAAAAATACCTATAAGATGGAGGTAACATTTCTTCTTCAAATGTGCATTTTAAATTTCCAGATGGCACATTTTGTGTATATATCCTTACTCTAATTATACTTCTATTTCTTTTACAATCTTCTTGAATCTTAATAACTTGAGATGGTGGCGAATCAAAACAAAACATGAAATGGCTGAAAATAATAATTGCATAATTAATTATTTGATTAACATATATTATATAAATATATAAAAGAATATAATGATAAATATCTACTTTGCATGTATATGAACATTATCATGAGCACTTATTTTACATGGAAGTTGCTTAACACCCCAATTTTCAATCTTTCTAATAAATCCACCTGTTTCAAATATTGATTTTGCTATATCTTGTAAAATAGATACACATTCTGCCTGGAAATATTATTCATTGATAATTATTATTTGATCGTTTATTATTTTGATAGTTAATTATGTTGTTAATAACATAAATTGTTTATATTTAGGTTAACAAATCTATAAAATGTTTGAAATAAATGTTTTAAAATATGTTAGAAAAAAGATTGCAATACCTTATTTGCTAATCGTAATAATAATGGCATTTCATACGTCGGCATGTTTATATTTATTTTTCAATAAATAAATGAAATTTTAATTGAAAAAGTACATAGACTTTCTTACTGACAATAAGAATCACGAACTACACATATAGCATGATACGTGATATTTTACGATCTATTAAATAGATCACATTCTTTTATGTATGTACTAATTAATAAATAATAAAATTAAATAATAAAATATTAAATAATATTAAATAATATTTAATAATTTCATGTTATTAACAGAAAAATTAACAACGTATCATTAATTTATTTTGAAATTAATAAAAAATAAGGTTATGACAATCTTATATTGAAAATATGTATTTGAGAAAAAGTTTTTCTAATCTTATAAAAAGATATAATATTTTATATTTAAATTTTATACAACAACAAGAAAATTTATATTCGCATTATGTAGATAAAAATTATATTTCTTCGTTAACTTTAACGAACATTTCAAAATATTCAAGTGATAGTCCATTAAAATGTTGGAATTGTAATTTTACATATAAATCTGATTTATTTTGTTCTAAATGTAAAGTTTTACAAAAACCACCTGAAAATTTAACTTATTTTGATATAATAGATATTCCAAAAACTTACGATGTTAATGTTACGGAAATTCAAAAAAAATATAAAGAACTGCAAAAACTATTACATCCTGATAAATTTAGTAACAAATCTGAGGTAAGTATAATTTATTATACTATAATAAGTATATTATTAATTTTATTAATTTGTTTTGTTTTATTCTTTTAGAAAGAAAAGCAATTTTCTGAGATTTTATCATCATTAGTAAATAAAGCTTATAGTACATTATTACATCCTCTAAAGAGAGGATTATATATGCTAGAATTAAATGGTATAACAATATCAGAAGGAACAGATAATATGAATGCAGAATTTTTAATGGAAATTATGGAAAAGAATGAAGAAATAGAAGATGCTGCAAATAATGAAGAAAAAATAAAAAAACTAGTACAAGAGAATGAGATTATATTAAATAGTTTAATAATGTAATATTCTTCTTTTTATTTAAAAATTTATACCTAGTTTTATTATTAATTAATGAATATATTTTTATATAGGAATGTAGCAGCTGCATTTAAACAGAAAGACATTAAGAAAGCAGAATCTCTTCTTATACAAATGAAATATTATGATAGTATAAATAATAGATTAAAAAAATTAAAATATGATTTAGGTATAATAGAATAAATATAATTTTATAATATTAGTAAAATTGTAATATAATTGTAATTTAATATATAATTAATATAATTATTATAATATATATCTTTAATTTTATGTAAATGTATATTGTTAATATAAAAAGTATGTTGTAATATATTTATTATTTACAAATTAAACATTTTATTATATTTCTGAAAACTTTCTTCATATTTCTATATATTAATTAATATTTTAATTATATTAATATATTTTTCTTTTTTTAATATTTATATTCTTTAAATAAATTCTTTGTTAAAAAATATATATATATATACAATAAAAACATAATCACGATAAAGACAAGATATTAAAACTCAAAATTAATTTATTCTTGATTATCTATTTTCCACATTTCAATCCATTGACATATTCTATTTACATTTTCTGTTATTTGATTTAGATTATTACTTGTCAGTTCATGAACTATTTCTTCTCTATAAGCTAATCTTGCCTCTTCAAGAATGGTTTGAAATATTTCACAATCTATATTATCTTCTAACTTTTTTCCTGTATAACCCCTGTCTCTTAAACGATCATATAAAATAGTATTGTCTGTTCTTAGTACAAAAACAATATCAAACCATCTTTCTGGAAAAAAATCAGCTCCATGATAATCAACAATTTTTCCACCTTCACACATAAGAGTTTCCATTTCATCTAATAACTGCAATTAAAAAATATAATACATTATTATAATGATATTATATAATTATAAAAAATAATATATTTATATGAAAATTAAAATTCTTTTATGGATTACCTTATCCTCATCTAAAATAGGACATTGATACACCTCATCATATTCCTCTAAACATTCTTTTTCAATAGCAAACTTGCTAACATCAATCCAGGTTAATCCAGTTTTTTCAGATAAAATACGAGACATTAAACTTTTTCCTACTCCAGGTGTACCTAAAAATAAAGTTGATTATATAAATAATTTGGTTTTTATATATGAAAACAATTATTATAATTTTAATTTATTTTAAAAAGACCGCTTGTTAATTTAACCTGTTATTAAAATATTTGGAGAAGTTCTATTCATGTTGATCATCTTAAAACCATTTAATTATTAATATTTTATTAATATTTTATTAATATTGAAATTAATCACATATAATACGCATTGTTAAGAAATAACATTCTCAGTAAAATCTTATCACACACGATTGTAATATCAATAATGCATATACATTTAAAAGTAATATAAATTATTTTTAAGACAAAGTTAATAGCACAGACAAAATATAGAATAGATTTTACATTCAATGAATTTTTTTGTTCCAGGGACAAGGAATTCTTTACCATTTCAATGTCATTTTCAACATTACCGATTCGATTTAAAATAAGATTACAAGGTGGACACTCTGAAGGTGATTTTTTTGATTTTCTAATTTTTATTCCATGTCCTTTTTTCGCTATTTGATTTTTTTGTCTATACTTGATTGCAAAATTTATGTATTTAAGAAACAGTTCCGATATTTGATTAAGTTTATTTTTTTGTTTATCTTAATTAAATAAAATCTTTAAAAAATCTATTTGATTCAATTTTTCAAATATGTATTTTATTCATATCTATTTTTATTTACATATATATTTTATGTTTTTATAGCTAAATCGTAATTTTATTTTTTGCTAAATCGATAACGTCAAAAACGAATATGGCGATTTATAAATCGTATATAGGATGGTAAGTCTATCTCATATTGTATACGATTCTATGGTTACAAATATTCTTTAAGGTTATTATTTTGACGTATATATTGCATCCCAAACGATAATTTCAGTTGTCTGAATATTCTTTTTTAACAATGAGTCTTGTGGCATATGAAAGCAGTGAGGAAAGTTCAGATGATGAAAGAAATAATTATAATGCAGAAAATGAAAATAAAATTACATCAGAAGTTACAGTTCTACAAACAAATGACAAATTATGTTTATCAATTTCAAACCATAATACTTTTCAACAAGAAAATGATGAAAATAACATGATTGAAATGGAACTACCTAAGACAAATGAGTCATCAGAAAAAATACAATTTAATAAATTACCTAAACCCAAAACTTTGATTACAGAAATAAGTAATATCATAGAAGAAGATGATATTCCTTTGAAAAAAGAATTTAAATCTGGAAAATCAGTAAAAAAGGATCGAGTGCCAGTTAAAATAATGGTGCCTTCTTTATCTGAAGTAAGAAATTTTTAAATAAATGTAATGTGTATGTAATATATTTTTTTTAAATTATACATCTAATAATACATTTTTTTTATTTAAAGTTTGTAGATACTCCAAAGGAAAATGAGCCTAAATGTAATAAATTAAAACCATCAAATGTAAGTATTTATCATAATATTTATATTTCTGTAAAAATATAAAATATATATATATTTTCAGAAGGGTACTAAACTTTTTGCATTATTACCTCCACCTAAAGGAATTGACATTAAAAATTCTAATAATTTAATACCTACTGTTATTAAATCTACTATAGAAACTAATCAAACAAAAGTTCCATTCATTAAAGATACAGATATAAAAACTTCTAATACAAGAAGCATAAAACCTATAATAGCAAATTCCATAAATGTAACTCATGAATCAAATTCTGAAGATGATGAAAGTGAAACTGTAGACAAAGATAATAATTCTATTACAGATTTTTTTGCTCTAACACAAAATGATACTGTTTCAAATATTTTATCAGATTCTCTGAGTACTGATACAAATTTAAATAATTCTGATTTAGAATTTAAGGATAGTCCAAATAAAAATGACTCATTTAAATACTTCACTAGTTCTAAAATTGATATAAAAAAAATATGTACAAATAAATCTCAAAAAACATCATTAAGTAATGTTATAGATTTACCAAAGGAAGAAATATTATTAAAAAATAAAACAGAAATAGGTCCAAAATTGCCAGTACCTGAACAAGAATATAATATAGATACAGAAGGTAATGTAGCTTTTGATGACAAAGCTATTGAATATCTTTGTGGAAAAAGAGGTGTGAAACGGAAACCTAAAGAAATTGAAGAAGCAAATATTATAGAAATAAATGGAGAAGATATTAAACCAGATGAAAGAGAATGGTTAATAAAAGCATTAACAGAAGAGCCTATACAAAGACCAATATCTATGCAAGGTGGTGGAGTAAGTTCTCAATCTAAAAAGAAACATCAAATAACATATTTAGCACATCAAGCTAAAGCAATGGAAATGGAATTAAAGAATCAATGGGCACAAAATAGATTGACAAGGAACAAACTCAATCAAAATATGGTTTTTAAATAAAAAACATTTGTAAAATATGTATATACATTTTTTTTTCTTATAGTTATACAAAAATGAAAAAGTTATAAAATATATTAATTAATAATTTCTGTATTATTATTATTAAAATAATAATTTGTTTTTTGTAATAATGTATTCTTTAAAGTTTCATTTTTATAGTCAATTAAATATTTTCATTAGTCAATTAAAACTTATATTTATAATAAATTTAATGGCAAATCTTCATATTGACTAAGATAATGATTATGTTTTATTAATTCATCAAATATTTATAAATATCTATGATATTTATTTAATATTCTTATATAGTAGAAATTATTAATTTATGTATTTATTAAATTAATTTTTAATTTTTCTATAATATATTTATTGATTTGCTAACTTTTTAATGTTATACATAATGAAATATTACAATAAATGTTTTCCTGAGATAAAATTTTCAAGAGAATTTACACCAAATAAATAATTAAACTTTTTTGAAAAATTAAAGTATTTTCTAAAAAAAAAATCATATTCTCTTTATATATACATTATATAGACATTATTTCTTTTTCTTTATTTTTATTTTTTCATATACTATACTCAATGTAACATTAAAATCATTCTTAATATTAATAATTCTTAATATTA